CAGTCTGGTCTCTCTTTTCTGAGTAGTCCCCACACCTTGAAGAGACCTCCATAGAAACCCGAGAGATTATTCAGGCGTAATCCTTTCAGGTCCATTAGGAACAGCGACTCAGCCAGACCCAGCCCACCACAGCGCTCCAGTAAGGCCCGAGCTACGGGTCTCCAGACCAGGTCAGCAGGTCCAGTCAGGAACCTCTGGACGAACCGGAGCCTGAAAGCAGCCCCTCTGCTCGCCAGGTGAACCAGGCCATGTCCCCCCTCTTCCTTTGGCAGGAACAGGACGCTCTGAGGGACCCAGTGCATGCGGTCCCAGAAGAAGTCCACCATGAGAGCCTGCACCCTGGACAGCAGGTTTACGGGCGGGTCGGTGCATGCCAGCCGGTGAGCCAGCATGGAGGAAACAAGGTTGTTTAAAATAAGGATACGCCCTTTAAAAGAAAGTTTGGGAAGGATCCACTTCCACTTCTTTAACCGGCCTTCCACTTTCTCTATAAGCCCGTCCCAGTTTTTCAAACAAAACGTGTCATCACCAAGATAAATACCCAGGTACTTTAACCCTGCCCTTTTCCAACCAAGGCCCCCAGGTAACAACAAGCTGTCAATGCTGCCCTCTCCTACTGCTAAAGCCTCACTTTTCCCCCAGTTGACTCGAGCAGATGAGATTTTGCAAAAATTGCTCACAGTTTCAGTTAAAACATTGATATCCTCTTGTTTTTTAACAAAGACCATTATGTCGTCCGCATAAGCAGACAATTTAAAAACATCCCTACAGCCAGGAAAAGAGAAACCCTGTAACTTGGACCTTAACCGGTGTAAAAAAGGCTCTATGGCCAGGGAGTAGAGCATCCCGGACAAAGAGCAGCCCTGTCGGATTCCTCTCTGAGCTTCAAAAGGAGCAAACAAACTACCGTTTATCTTCAGTACACTCTCAATGTCCCTGTACAAGACCTGGATCTTGGCTATGAGACCAGAGCTGAACCCAAAAGCTTCCAGCGTCTGCCACAAGTACTGGTGCTCAACTCGGTCAAAAGCCTTTTCTTGGTCTAGAGAAATCAGACCAAGCTCACAGCCCAATGAACCGGAGAGGTCCAAAACATCCCGAATTAGAGTCACGTTGTCAGTTATCAACCTGCTGGGTACACAGTATGTCTGGTCTACGTGAATGACATGCTCCATCACTTTTCTCAGCCTCGTTGCTAACACTTTGGAAAGCAGCTTGTAGTCGGTACAGAGTAGAGACACAGGACGCCAGTTCTTAATCTCCTGCAGGTCTCCTTTCTTAGGGAGGAGAGTGAGCACAGCTCTCCTGCAACTCAGAGGCAACCTCCCGTTACTTAGACTGTCTCTGAGCACACTCAGCAGGTCGTCTCCTATAACCGGCCAGAGAGCCTTATAGAAGTCTGCAGGCAGGCCGTCTATGCCAGGAGCCTTCCCACTCTGCATGCTCTGCAGGGCCTCCTGCAGCTCCTGGGCAGAGAGCTCCGCCTCCAGCTCTGCATGGTCCTCCTCAGGGACGTTAGGAAGGCCCTCATAGAACGACTGCGCCACCTCTGGCTCGGCCTGGAACTCTGTTTGGTAGAGCTCTTTGTAGAACTCCACAGCACACTGACGAATGTCGGCGGACTCCTGAAGCAGCTGCCCCGCATTGGATCGCAGGGAGTGCATCAGCCTCCTCTGACCATTCTTACGCTCCAGACCAAAGAAAAAGTGAGAGGGAGCATCCATTTTCACGATGTTCTGAAACCGGGATCTGACCAGAGCACCCTGAGCAGAAAACCCCAGCAGGTCAGACAGAGCTGTGTTTTTACTTTTGAAAACTTTAACATGTTCTCGCTCTCCTGTGGAGTCTGCCAACCCTGCAGCTCCACCACTTCTCTCTCCAGAGCTCTCAGAGATCTAGCCATGTCCTTTGTGACATTGAAAGTGTACTGTTGGCAAAGCTGCTTGATTTTCACTTTACCTATATCCCACCACTGCTGAAGAGAATTGTACTCACTCTTAGATAACCGGTAGTTTTCCCAAAAAAACTTAAAAACATTTTTAAAATGGTTGTCGGCCAACAGAGAAGCATTAAAGTGCCAGTACGCACTATTACACTTAACATGATTAATAAAAAGTGAGACCTGTACGAGGGAATGGTCAGAGATTCCCACTGGACTGATGGAGCAGCTTCTGCTTACATTAATGTGATGGCTAAACACATAGACACGGTCCAGCCTAGCTAGAGACAACATGTTATCCCTAGAGTGCACCACGTGTACTGCCGCTGGCCCGGGTGGAAGTGCCTCCACACATCACACAGCTCAAAGGTTTCTGTGAGTCTCATTAAGGCACTCTTTGAGGCAGCATGCGGCTCCTGGTGGTTCCTATCCAGCACAGGGTTCTCTGTGCAGTTGAAGTCCCCCCCCAGGAACAGATACTCCTCCCTATCACAGGTGCTAAGAGTATCTTTCAGTTTCTCAAAAAACAAAAGCCTCTCTGCGCCCACACAGGGAGCATAAATATTTATAAAACATATTTTTACTTTTTCAAATTCAGCATTTACTTTTAGCAAGTGTCCTGGGATGACCTCATCGACCGTACAGGAGAAGGGTGTAAAGCCCCTTGCAAAGAGAATTGCGACCCCTCCACTATTGCTGAACTTATGGCTGAAGAAACCCTCCCCCCCCCACTCCCTCCTCCAGTCACTCTCGTTCTCAGCAGTGCTGTGAGTCTCTTGGAGAAACGTCACATTTAGACTCTTGTTTTCTACTAAAGTAAATAAAGATGCTCTTTTCGCATCCCCCCGAGCACCGTTAATGTTTAAAGAGCCCAGCTTTATGTCACTCATAATTAAATTATAGTTGCATCCTAACAAAATCAAAAACCTGACTGAAGAAAAATAAAGGAGAAATAATAAATACAAGATGTACTTATTCATAATTCTTTGCACTTTCCTCTCTAACCCTCTGAAGTATCTTCTTTAACCTAGCCTTCTCTGGGCTGCTGAAGACAGGTTCCCCTAAGGCTTCTGGGCGCCGCATGAGAGCCTTGGCAGAATTGTGAAAAATCTGCAAATCAGCAAAAAAATTCTCTAACTTCACCCCCCTCAACCCCTTAGTTTCCGCCAGAAAGGATCTGATCCTCTGGAAAGAGTACTCCTCTCCCTTTTCTACCTCAACCATGTCAAAGAATGACTCACTGTCACTGTCCTCTGAGTCCTCTGTGTCTCCCTCTGGCTGAGAGGAGGAACACAGCGACTCTGTCCTTGACACCTTCCCTTTCTGTGCCACACTGCCTTTGCTCACTTCTTCGTTTTTTCTTTTGACAGGCAACCTTAATAAATCCTCATCCATTTCAACATCCTCCAGAACAGACTCAGCTACTCTGGCTGCAGTGTGCTCACTATCTGCTTTCTGTGTGACCAGAGTGTCTATGTGTGTGATACTGTGTGTATCTGCCTGTGTGCTTTCTGTGTGTGAAACCGTTGGCTCTGCCACGGACCCACTGACCTGCGGTTCCACCACCGGCGTTTCCGCCGCGGGCGCGTGCGCGGGCCCAGCCGTGCACAAAACAACCGGCAGCGGCTCCGCAGCGGGCGCGGACCCCAGCACCGGCGGCCCGGCCGCGGACAAAGGGACCGGCAGCGGCAGCGGATCCGCCGCAGGCGCGGGCCCCAGCACCGGCGGCCCGGCCGTGGACAAGTCAACCGGTAGCGGTTCCGCCGCTGGCACGGACACCGTCGGGCCGGCTGCGAGCGCGGACACCACGGGCGCGTCCACCGCCCTCTCCGGGCATGCGCGGATCAGGTGTCCTGCCGCTCCACAACCAAAACATCTCAAAATATCAGACGTTACATGGACAGTATACACAAAATCATCAATTTTAAACTTGAGAGCCAGATTTAATTCCCCTTCATCCTTTTTCAGGACCATCAGCACCTGTCTCCTAAAAGACACAACGTGCTTGAGGTGCGGGGATTTACAGCCCAGGGGGATCATCTTAATGGGAGACGCAAGCTGCCCGTGTCGAGCCAGCTCTCTCTCCAACAACTCGTTTCTAAGAAACGGGGGCACATTTGAAATTATAACTTTTTTAGCAGGAGTGACAAGGGGTAGCACGGGTAATATCGTCCCTTTAATCACTAGCCCGCTCTCCACCAGCTGGTTAGCTTTCTCCGTGCAGTCTAAAAATATAACCACCGCACTGTTCATGCGGGAGGCAGATTTGACTCTGCCATATCCCACCACAGCCCCCACAGCCAGACCACACTCCTCCACCGACACACCGTCAGGTGGAGAGAGCTTGATGGCGTGTTTGCGAGTCAGCTTCTCCAACCCGGCGCAGCTGCCACGGAACGCCATGCCGGGCGGCGTGACTGCAGCTGCAGCCGCTAGACAAACAATTAGACAAACAAATCACCAGTGCAACCAAACAACACCAAAGTCGGACAAGTGATGCACAATGACATAAACTATCGCCCAGAGAAAAGTGAAATATTAACAAAGGTTTGAAAAGTTGTAAACTTTAAAGATCGCTCTCCGCTATACTCACCTGTCCACTCACAATCAGAGAGAGAGAGAGAGAGAGATGAGAGAGCGATGAGATGAGAGAGATGAGCCGAGATGACGGAGAGAGATGAGACCCGAGAGGAGAGATGAGAGAGAAGGAGAGGAGAGATGAGGGAGAGGAGAGCAGAGAGGAGAGAGAGAGATGAGAGAGAGAGAGAGAGTAGAGAGAGAGAGAGAGAGAGAGAGGAGAGAGAGAGAGATCAGAGTGTTACCCCTTAGATCAGGTCTCTAGTGATGGTGTGCTCAAAGTGATTGAAGCATGTCACTTGAACATGTGCAGCTGGAGTCTTTCAGCAACTGGGTCAGAACCTGCTGAACTAGCTGCATCACCTTTAAACTTTATAATAATAATACATGACTCTTATAGAGCGCTGTTATAGAAAGATCACTAACAGAGAGGAAAGCCTTCAGGTGAGTCTGGTGATAAACTGCTGTCTGTGTCTCTCCTCAGATTCCTGTGAACTCACCCTGGACTCAAACACAGTGAAGAGATACCTCATACTGTCTGAGGACAACAGGAAGGAGGAGCAGCCATATCCTGATCATCCAGAGAGGTTTGAGTACTGGCCTCAGCTGATGTGCAGAGAAGCTCTGACTGGTCGCTGTTACTGGGAGGTCGAGAGGAGAGGAGAGGTTGATATAGCAGTGACTTACAGAGGAATTAGGAGGAAAGGAGACGGAGGGGAATGTAGGTTTGGATGGAATGATCAGTCCTGGAGACTGAACTGCTCTGGTAGAGGTTACTCTGTCTGGCACAATGAGAGAGAAACAAACATCTCCTCCTCCTCCTCCTCCTCCTCCCCCTTCTTCCCCTCCTCCTCTGGTAGAGTAGCAGTGTATCTGGATCATCCTGCTGGCTCTCTCTCCTTCTACAGAGTCTCCTCTGACACACTGACCCACCTCCACACCTTCAGAACCACATTCACTGAACCTCTCTACGCTGGGTTTGGGTTCTGGTCAGATGGCTGCTCAGTGTCTCTGTGTCCTCTGTAGGAGGAGACCACTTCCTGTCCTGGGTTTAAGGGTTGCTGTTTTAAATCTGGCTCACTGATTGTGTCTTTACTGTCAGAAGTGTTTTTATCAGAGAGTCTTTCATTGGGTGATGAATCTCTCCTTATCAGTTCAGTTATAAGTTGGACAGATGAATCAAAAGGTCAATGATTGTTGATTCTTGAAAATGCTTTAAGAAACTCAACAGCCTTCATCTCAGCTCTCCAGAGGGTTTACTTTATTGAGTTAGCAGCTCATTCCTTCAAACAGAAACTTCAGAGTGATTATAATGGGAGCAGATAGAAAGAAAGGTGGGCACACATGAATACCGTGATATATATTTGTACATATATATTGAAGTAGTACAATATATGACAAGTTTAATCTGTGGGCCATATCTCATTATACTGTCTGAATTAGCTGAGGGCCCAAAGTGTTGTTTAATGTTTAATAAAATGGCGGCTATGTCAACTGTTGAAGAAAGGAAGAAAATGGAACAATGTATTTTATTATATAAAGCTTAAATATGTTAAAAACTGTGTTAAACTCTGAATGCCATAGTCATGTATCGTATAGTTTAACGCTTTAGCAATATAAACAGGATGTATAACAGAAATCCTTACATGGGTACTTGTAAAGACCTATGTAGCAAAGTACGCACTTCCTCTTTCCAGGAGATGAACATCTGTTATGCACTTCCTTGCGGGAAGTGAACATTTAACCATAAAGCAACAAAGAAGGACACCTGATGTGACAAACCACGTGAACAAAGAGGATATAAGGAGACTGAAGAACATTTGAAATCAGTTCCTCTTGAACTCAGTTCTTCTTGCAGAAGACTGAAGAACCCCCGATACTAACTAGTAGTGGGGCAAACCTAGACGGAGCAGATATCATCTATATCTGAGCTAAACGCAGTTCATTATAGTGTGTGGTGTTATAACTTGTGAAACTTTAAATAAAACGACCTGTTCACACTTGTGAGAGGAAACTAAAGTTCACGTAGCCCTTCTGATTATTGCTGGATAAGTGACAAATGAGACGGAAATGTAACCTGTTCCCATGAACATCCTGCATTCAAACCTCACTGAAGTTCAAGTGTTGAGGTATTTAAGTACTCTAGTGTTAGCTGAGCATTCAATTGTTCCCTATTATATATATATATATATATATATATATATATATATATATATATATATATATATATGTTTCTGGATTATTAGCCCTGCTGCATTTATTCCATATATTACTGTATTCTCCCAGAATGTGAATGGACTTTCTTGTTATTGGAACCAAAACACATTTCTTTAATGTATTTCTAATGATCAAAGTTCTAGCCCACCTTTGAACAAATAAAACATCAGATCAAAAGTGAAGCATTGATGCCTGAGCTGGACCCATGTTATCCTCACCATTTTGTTTATCTCCCTGCACATGATGAACTCATACTCTGTGTTTTCATTTCACTGTGAATTGAGTTTGTCCTCAGCAGTCTCTTCCTCCACCGTCACTACATATATATATATATATATATATATATATATATATATATACACATTACCTTTAGTCTGTGTTTCCAGTTCTTTCATCATTAGTTTTAGCTAACAAGTACAAGACCTGAGTACTTCTACTTTTACTCAAGTTCAAGACCTGAGTACTTCTACTTTTACTCAAGTTTAACATCTGAGTACTTCTACTGTTACTCAAGTACAAGATCTGAGTACTTCTACTTTTACTCAAGTACAAGATCTGAGTACTTCTACTTTTACTCAAGTACAAGATCTGAGTACTTCTACTTTTACTCAAGTACAAGATCTGAGTACTTCTACTTTTACTCAAGTACAAGATCTGAGTACTTCTACTTTTACTCAAGTACAAGATCTGAGTACTTCTACTTTTACTCAAGTACAAGATCTGAGTACTTCTACTTTTACTCAAGTACAAGATCTGAGTACTTCTCCTTTTACTCAAGTACAAGAGCTGAGTACTTCTACTTTTACTCAAGTTCAAGATCTGAGTACTTCTACTTTTACTACAGTACAAGATCTGAGTACTTCTACTTTTACTACAGTACAAGATCTGAGTACTTCTACTTTTACTAAAGTACAAGATCTGAGTACTTCTACTGTTACTAAAGTACAAGATCTGAGTACTTCTACTGTTACTCAAGTACCAGACCTGAGTATTTCTACTTTTACTCAAGTACAAGATCTGAGTACTTCTACTTTTACTCAAGTACAAGATCTGAGTACTTCTACTTTTACTCAAGTACAAGATCTGAGTACTTCTCCTTTTACTCAAGTACAAGAGCTGAGTACTTCTACTTTTACTCAAGTTCAAGATCTGAGTACTTCTACTTTTACTACAGTACAAGATCTGAGTACTTCTACTTTTACTACAGTACAAGATCTGAGTACTTCTACTGTTACTAAAGTACAAGATCTGAGTACTTCTACTGTTACTCAAGTACCAGACCTGAGTATTTCTACTTTTACTCAAGTACAAGATCTGAGTACTTCTACTTTTACTCAAGTACAAGATCTGAGTACTTCTACTTTTACTCAAGTACAAGATCTGAGTACTTCTCCTTTTACTCAAGTACAAGAGCTGAGTACTTCTACTTTTACTCAAGTTCAAGATCTGAGTACTTCTACTTTTACTACAGTACAAGATCTGAGTACTTCTACTTTTACTACAGTACAAGATCTGAGTACTTCTACTGTTACTAAAGTACAAGATCTGAGTACTTCTACTGTTACTAAAGTACAAGATGTGAGTACTTCTACTGTTACTAAAGTACAAGATCTGAGTACTTCTACTGTTACTAAAGTACCAGACCTGAGTACTTCTTCCTCCTCTGTTCATCGCTCAGGTGGAAATCACAGAAAAGACTTGAGGAGAAAACAGAGCTTGGACTACCATCTAGTGGACAAACAGAAAACTACACCCACACACTTAGAGCCCAACAGCAGACTGTGAGTTACTGGAAATAAAGTACATTTTCTGTAAGTATTGTGCAGTTTTGAAGTACCTGAGTATTACCTATTATTATTATCTTCTGTATACTGATTTAATCATTTACATGGTTGTACTTTTCACACTTTGCAGATTCTAACTTATAATACCCGCTGTAATCAACTAAAGAAATCATTGTATTTTATTATACATACAAAAATATCCACTAAGTCCACACACGTTAGAAAGAGTATTTAATGTACATTTTTAAAGTGTCATTTCATCATTTCTGTGAAGATTTTGAATCATCCGTTTCAAAGAGAGAATCATCAGTGGTGCAGGAATGAGTCCTAAACCCTGAAATGAGTCAGCATGTTACCACTTCCTGTCCCCTGGTCTGGAAGTCAATGGTCTTCTGAATGTGTTTTTGGTTGTTAGTCTGAACTAAGCTGTGTGGTGAGTAGATTCCTCACTGCTGAACTAAACGTGTGAGTTTGTTTGACACAGAGATTATTTTCTGCAATAATCCAAAACTCCCACGGAGGAATCCCATTGGAGCAGGGAGATGCTGCCTTCAGGGACCAGCACAGGAACACCACATCCCTGCAGCTCTCTGTATTCCAGCCGGTGGTTCTGGTGGGGTTTGGATCAGCTGGCCAGCCGGTCCCTCATGTATCCAGAGGAGTGTGTGTCCTGCAGCAGAGCCTTGCTGACGTCCAGAAGGTTCTGTTGGTAGGCCAGTCTGTAGCGGCTGAACACGTGCTCACAGTGAGAGAGCAGGCGGCGAGCATTAGAGACACTGCAGGGAGCCCCGTCCAGCCTGAACACACACACACACACACACACACACACACACACACACACACACACACACACACACACACACACACACACACACACACACACACACACACACACACACACCTCAGATTTTAGTTGTCATATCTAAACTGTAGCTCTGCACGAATGACAATAAAGCCTTGAGTCTTGAGTCTTGTCCCCCTGCTTGATTCTTTGTGGTGAGCACGGCGTTACGATGTCTTACTTTTTGAAGATGTCCTCGAACAGGGCGGAGGTGAGGGGGCGGAGGCGTTTGAAGTCCTCCAGGTAAACAAAGTCTCCGCTCAGGATCACCTTCTGGAACAAAATGTGAGGCCAGTCCGGACTGTAGCCGTACGCCTCGGCCACCACCAAAACCTGAGGGACGAGAACACAGGATGAGAGACGCTGGATCAGGACCAGAGGTGGGAAGTAGAGGAGTACAAATACTGCGTTACTGGACTTAAGTACATGTTTCTGGTATCAGTACTTTACTCCACTACTTATTTTTCTGACCACTTTTTACTTTGACTTCTTACATTTTGAACACAAATACCTGTACTTTCTACTTCTTACATGTTGAACACAAATACCTGTACTTTCTACTTCTTACATGTTGAACACAAATACCTGTACTTTCTACTTCTTACATGTTGAACACAAATACCTGTACTTTCTACTTCTTACATGTTGAACACAAATACCTGTACTTTCTACTTCTTACATGTTGAACACAAATACCTGTACTTTCTACTTCTTACATGTTGAACACAAATACCTGTACTTTCTACTTCTTACATGTTGAACACAAATACCTGTACTTTCTACTTCTTACATGTTGAACCCAAATACCTGTACTTTCTACTTCTTATATGTTGAACCCAAATACCTGTACTTTCTACTTCTTACATTTTGAACCCAAATACCTGTACTTTCTACTTCTTACATGTTGAACACAAATACCTGTACTTTCTACTTCTTACATGTTGAACTCAAATACCTGTACTTTCTACTTCTTACATGTTGAACACAAATACCTGTACTTTCTACTTCTTACATGTTGAACTCAAATACCTGTACTTTCTACTTCTTACATGTTGAACACAAATACCTGTACTTTCTACTTCTTACATGTTGAACACAAATACCTGTACTTTCTACTTCTTATATGTTGAACCCAAATACCTGAACTTTCTACTTCTTATATGTTGAACCCAAATACCTGTACTTTCTACTTCTTACATTTTGAACCCAAATACCTGTACTTTCTACTTCTTACATGTTGAACCCAAATACCTGTACTTTCTACTTCTTACATGTTGAACCCAAATACCTGTACTTTCTACTTCTTACATGTTGAACACAAATACCTGTACTTTCTACTTCTTACATGTTGAACACAAATACCTGTACTTTCTACTTCTCACATTTCCCAAACAGGCTGGTTCCTTTAGTTTGAATGTGTGTCTGGTGGCGTGATCATTATTATTTAGAGTCATTGCGTGCCTATTGATTTGAACACGATCCGTGTATCCATCATTTCCTGGTCTTCTCTAAAGAAGAGGGACCAATGAAAACGTTGTCATGTTGCCGTTGTTCAGCATGGAAACATTCATTAACTAACAATGACATTATTGTTCTATTAATATAAAGGGAGGTCAGGTACTCTTTAAAACAGCTGCTAGTTATGGGTACTTTTTACTGAAGTACATTTCAAAGCCTCTTTACTTTGACTTGAGTAAAGAAGTTTAGTCAGTACTTCTACTTTTACCAGAGTATTTTTTTTTAAATCCACTAAGTTAGAAAGAGTCTTTAATGTACATTTTTAAAGCTTAATTTCCTCATTTCTGTGAAGCTTTTGAGCAGTGAATAATCTGTTTCAAAGAGAATCATCAGAGTCATCAGGGATACACAGGGATTTGAGCCTTTGCAGACCATTTACATGCACTAACATCTATAGAACACACTACAGGAGAGGGAGAAGCGAAAAGCAGAATAGGGCCTCTTTAAGGCGCGTCAGCAGGACTCTTTTTGTTCTAGAACTACAACAGGCCTCTGACACACACACACACACACACACACACACACACACACACACACACACACACACACACACACACACACACACACACACACACACACACACACACACACACACACTCACACACACACACAGAGAAGTTAACCTTTAATGCAGTAGATTGCTTATTTTCCGCAACGCTGCTTCCCTGGACATCTTCAAGTCTTCATTAAAAACTCACCTGTCCTTCATGGCCTTTGACCCCTAACCCATCACAGCCCCCCTGCTTCCACTCCCACTGCTAGTTATTTAATTTGTACTTTATTATTTGCCCCTCTTGTTTGTTTGTTTGTTCACCATGTAAAGCGGTCCCTTGAAAGGTGCTATACACATGTCATCTATTATTATTATTATTCCAAATGTAATGAAGAGATCCCAGTGCTCTGTGTGATCCCAGTGCTCTGTGTGATCCCAGTGCTCTGTGTGGTCCCAGTGCTCTGTGTGATCCCAGTGCTCTGTGTGATCCCAGTGCTCTGTGTGATCCCAGTGCTCTGTGTGGTCCCAGTGCTCTGTGGGGGGGGGGGGTTGGGAGGTGTACCTTGGAGAAGCTCTCTGCAGCGTCCTTCAGCAGACCCAGCACCTTGACCAGAGAACTCTTCAGCTCAGGAGTCACCACTGGAAATAGAAACAGCAGCATGACTTCACTGTGTTTCACAAATAGACAAACACTCTGAATGTCTTTTAGTTGAAGAGAAATCCTGTTTCTGAACTACTGCAGTGTGGACGTTACCCAGCAGGCCAGCTAACAGGCTTAAAGCTAACAGACAGGAATCAAATGAACTGTAGGTTTGCAAATGTGCACGTTTCCCAGAAGGAATACCACTAACGTCCCCGTTGTGACTCCTCAGCTGAGACGACTTGATGTCTCTGTCTTTTTGTTGAGTAATTGGATATTATTGGTTTAGTTTTTGTCTCACCCCAGGCCTGGGACTCGATGATCTTCAGCTGCGTTCGGGCTGCCATCTCGTGGTTCTCTCCGATCTCCCTCCTCATGCTGAAGCACAGCGCCACCATGTTGTGTTTCTCGCTGTCAGCAGGGAGGCATCGCTTCAGATAATCCAGCAGAGCCGTCTTCAGGCTGGAGCTCTGCAGAAACACAAGGGTCAGATAAAGAGTCCTATATCAGTATGTGGTGTCTCTACTTTAAAGAGTCCTCTCCTGCTGATGTTCAGGTGTATATCAGTATGTGGTGTCTCTACTTTAAAGAGTCCTCTCCTGCTGATGTTCAGGTGTATATCAGTATGTAGTGTCTCTACTTTAAAGAGTCCTCTCCCGCTGATGTTCAGGTGTATATCAGTATGTAGTGTCTCTACTTTAAAGAGTCCTCTCCCGCTGATGTTCAGGTGTATATCAGTACGTAGTTTCTCTACTTTAAAGAGTCCTCTCCCGCTGATGTTCAGATGTATATCAGTATGTAGTGTCTCTACTTTAAAGAGTCCTCTCCTGCTGATGTTCAGGTGTATATCAGTATGTAGTGTCTCTACTTTAAAGAGTCCTCTCCTGCTGATGTTCAGGTGTATATCAGTATGTAGTGACTCTACTTTAAAGAGTCCTCTCCTGCTGATGTTCAGGTGTATATCAGTATGTAGTGTCTCTACTTTAAAGAGTCCACTCCTGCTGATGTTCAGCTGTACAGATGGAGCATCTTATTTCAGACTCCAGCTTACTGCTTCCTGCCTACTACCTGCCAGTTACCTGCCTAAGACCTGCCAAAGACCAGTATCTGGGAATGTTAAGCCCTCCCACTATTTTCCAACAGGGCGTTGCCAGATTTTCAATCTAAGGATTTAACCAGGAGATGGTGCTTCCTTCACAGAAACAGTTTTGTTTAGAAAAGCATTTGAACACATCAATATTTTAGATCAAATAAAGTATATCTAATCTTGTAATTCAATAATATATAGTCTTTATATATTAAATAACTTTACACTTGGTAAAAAAATCCTGAGTGAGGCTTTCATAAATTGCATTTAGCTGACGCTTTTATCCAAAGCAACTTACTATTTAATAAATGATAAATGATTATTCATAACAAATATGAGTGATGTGTGATTATTATTCATGCTATATACTGATATAGGGCTAAGTAAGCAATCAATCCTGCAAATTAACCCTTAGTTGTTCAATATATTTATTCAGACAATGTGAGTAGAAATACAGAAATTCTGCTCCCACCTAAGGCCAACGTTGCAATATTACAACATTTCCCTAAAAACGTACCAAAACGTAAACATTTTAAAAACTCTTTCATTTCTGCTCCAGAGGCCAAAAATTGGTTAATTGGGTTAAATTGGGATTTGATATGTGGGGGGGCTCTGTTAGAAGGTGCGACGGGGGGGGGGGAGAGTTAGACGCTCGTGAATTGTCAACGGGGGGGAAGGAACACACGTTCACTAAGCCGAAAAAACTGTATCCGGTCACAGTGATCTGCTATTTTAAAGTAAATTCAACACATATCGACCCTAAATATAGCATATATTAAGAACGAGAAAGTGTTAACATCGTTTTTTGTAAACATATGACAAATGTGCGAGGGTGATGACATCAGAGCATCGTCCTATGGGCTTAGCCCCGGACAGGTACAACAGGTATTCACTCAGAGGGGGGTAGGTACTAAATGCCACCCATTTACATGTAGGCAAACAAAGTCAAAAATCAACATACAGTAGGGGGGTGGGGGATGGTGAACGGTATGTGGGTATGTGGGACACTGAAAAGTCTATGTTAAAAAGCCTCAGTCACCTTAATTCATGTAATTCTTCTGTTTATTCAACGTGGTGGGGGCCGAGGGAACCGGGCAGAGTTTTTCGCCGGTCAACGTGTGTGAAAGTTTAAATCTTCCTTATTGAGCTTTAAAACAAATGAATAACGACTATATATAATAATAAAATAAACACCGGCTGTTGTTATGCCTGCTGTAACGTTAAATTACTCCGTTCTCCGCTTAAGTAATTATGCCGTTACAAGCTTCATAGTTGTATTTATCATCTAAATTTGCCGAAACAAGTTTAATATTCTGAAAGCCAAGACTTTGTTTATTTGAAATCAGATGAAAACAAACTGTAACGGACCCTGCCGTGTTATCTATGATTACTATATGCCTTACTGTACATTCATAATTTCAGCCGAAGGGAGGGGGGCGGCGCTGCGGAGGATTTCTAAACGAACTATTACAGCTGTTATAAAGCATTAAATAAAAAGTCATGAAAGAGATAAGGAGGAGAAAAGGTTTAAGGAAGTAAGCAAGGAATACAGAATGTCGAAATCCTCTGTTTCACGCGATGTCGAACATTGAAGACAGAGGACGGCGGTCCCCCAATCTACACAGCGGGAGAAAGAAGATCATAAAGCAGATCGGAGGAGACATCACGATCTTCCCACATTAGTGCAATTCACCATACTTAACCCCAAATAAAAGAACCCAATAAAAACAGTTGTTAAATAATAGTGAAGTCACGTTGTAATAATAACTCATCTCTCGGTTTGAGTGTTCTTTTTCTACTTTGCCTAAAGCCACTGTGTCAAGTGTCTAGTGACTATTTCTCTTAGCGAATGCATGTCAATTTAAATCAATACATACAACTCTTTTTTAAATCAATAAAAACATTTTCTAAATCCATAAAAGCATTTCAATTAATATTGGGAGTCATGTCGTTACTTTGTTGAGAATGTGGCCATGTAATAAGCGGGATAATTTGCAGTGACTTGGTCATTGTGGGGAAAAATGACACCCAGGGATCAAGATCCCTCCGCTACGCGTCCGGATCTTGATCTGCCTGACAAGGCTCCATTAAAATATAAATATTTTTAGTGAATTACTGAGTTTAGGCACGTTAATAACATTTTAATGAAGTTGAATACAGAATATTCATATTTGTCAGTGATTTCATGTCAATTCGGCGAACATAAACATAAATGATCGTGGTGAAGATGATGATTAAATTAGGATTAAAAATCGAGAGCCGGCTGCATTTCCTCTCGTTCGTTCTTTTCGACTAAACAACATTATTTTGTTAAATAACAACATGGTGATGTTTTGTAAATGATTACATGTCTTATTTAGCACAGACTATGATCCTATCCGTGACATATGGATCTTAACAAAGATCCGCTATACAGTAGTACCAGACATACTGTACATCCAGTTTACTGTATCGAAGTTGATTTCACATGAGCTCCAGTGTGGAACCCCACTGCACCCCCTGGTGGATCAATGATCCATTGCAGCTGGCTTCACAATAATTAAATGTATTTATCACGGGGGCGATATCAAGTCAGACTGGGGGCCCGCTCTTCATCACGAACCGATCACGGGCCGATCATGGACCAATCACGGACCAATCACGACCCTCGCGTTTCAAACTGTCTGAAATAAGATGCTCCATCTGTATGAAAGTATGTAGTGTCTCTACTTTAAAGAGTCCTCTCCTGCTGATGTTCAGGTGTATATCAGTATGTAGTGTCTCTACTTTAAAGAGTCCTCTCCTGCTGATGTTCAGGTGTATATCAGTATGTAGTGTCTCTACTTTAAAGAGTCCTCTCCCGCTGATGTTCAGGTGTATATCAGTATGTAGTGTATCTACTTTAAAGAGTCCTCTCCTGCTGATGTTCAGGTGTATATCAGTATGTGGTGTCTCTACTTTAAAGAGTCCTCTCCTGCTGATGTTCAGGTGTATATCAGTAAGTAGTGTCTCTACTTTAAAGAGTCCTCTCCCGCTGATGTTCAGGTGTATATCAGTATGTAGTGTATCTACTTTAAAGAGTCCTCTCCTGCTGATGTTCAGGTGTATATCAGTATGTGGTGTCTCTACTTTAAAGAGTCCTCTCCTGCTGATGTTCAGGTGTATATCAGTAAGTAGTGTCTCTACTTTAAAGAGTCCTCTCCCGCTGATGTTCAGGTGTATATCAGTATGTAGTGTCTCTACTTTAAAGAGTCCTCTCCCGCTGATGTTCAGGTATATATCAGTATGTAGTGTCTCTACTTTAAAGAGTCCTCTCCCGCTGATGTTCAGGTATATATCAGTACGTAGTGTCTCTACTTTAAAGAGTCCTCTCCTGCTGATGTTCAGGTGTATATCAGTGTGTAGTGTCAGTGACAGTGGGGGGCTTGTGTATTATTATTATTATTAAAGTGTATGTGTGTGTGTGTGTGTGTGTGTGTGTGTGTGTGTGTGTGTGTGTGTGTGTGTGTGTGTGTGTGTGTGTGTGTGTGTGTGTGTGTGTGTGTGTGTGTGTGTGTCTCACCAGCAGGCCGTAGTGCTCTCGGGGGGCAAGGTGGGCGTGGCTCAGGTGTCGGGCGGCCTGTAGCACTCAGACGATTCCCTCCATGTTGCAGGTGAGGCTGAAGCAGTCGTGAGCCACGATCAGAAGCTCCACGACTGAAGGAGAGAACAGGAGAGTGTGTGTGTGTGTGTGTGTGTGTGTGTGTGTGTGTGTGTGTGTGTGTGTGTGTGTGTGTGTGTGTGTGTGTGTGTGTGTGTGTGTGTGTGTGTGTGTGTGTGTGTGTGTGTGTGTGTGTGTGTGTGTGTGTGTGTGTGTGTGTGTGTGTGTGTGTGTGTGTGTGTGTGTGTGTGTGTGTGTGTGGTGTCTCACTGCAGCTCAGCTCTCTCAGAGGAACACAGCTCAGGTTCTGTAGCAGTTTCTCTCCCACCAGGTTTGGATCGTCACAGAGTTTGATGAGTGACAGCAGGGAGTCCCGCCCCTCTGCCGGCCTGAACACCTGACACTCTGAGAAACACACACACATGATTCAATAAAATATAATACAAATATTAGATAAAGAAGACAAACGTGCTCTCCGTGTTCCCCCTCTCACCGGGCTGCAGCTCGGTGCTGGAGTCCAGCAGCGCCCTCATCAGGCTGGAGGCCAGCAGCCCCGACACGCTCTCTGCTGATAGGCTCTGAGCCTTAATGAACGCTCGGGCCTTCCTGAAACGCTCCGGCTGCTCCGACTGCAGCAGATTCTGCAGAACCGAGCCCGGGTCCTGGCTGTGGATCTGCCTGAAGGACAGCTGCAGCTCCTGGGGGGGGGGTAGACATTAGAGAGGTGAGATGACATTTTTAGTTTTATCATGCACTTTTATTCTGAAACAGGAATGTCAGCTTATATTTTAAAAATGTCTTACGCTAGTTTTTATCCAAGAATTTAGATTGAATTGAATACTACAACGCCTGGGGCCCGGTCAACACTACCCTACAGTATCTGGGCGGTACCACCAGTATGTGCAATATAAATACCATCATTACATAACATTCTCTGCTATATATGTGTATATAATGTTCTATAATAATGAGCAATTAGGTATCTGCCACTACGTTTTTTAATACTAAATACTGCTTGTGACTCTACAGTATTTTACATTGATGATGTGACCGTCTATGTTTCCTGTAGATATTGAATTGCTCTTCTCACTGCGCTGTTAGTGTGCAGTTTGATTATCATGCTGCTGTGTTTATTGTATTTTTGTAACTCTGGCACAACCCTTTCCTTCGAGATAAATAAAGTCTTATCTTATCTCTTATCTGTGACACAAGTATCAATACACACTGCTTTCACACATACATGTAAATATATCTAACATGTATACAGGACCCAAATCTGTATTTTTGTTCATTTTAATTCATTTCTTATTTTATAGTTACTTAACTGTATATCATTTTAGTTTTATCTTTAATTGTATTAATCTTTAATCTGTCCTGTTTTTCATTCTCACCCTGTTGCTGTCTGATCTGATCTCACCTTGGAGAGCTGGTAGAGGCTGAGGACTTGTCTGCAGAAGTTGTTTCCGTGCCGGCACTGATCCACCAGTTTCTGCAGCTGCACGGCCACCTGGTCTTCAGGGAGGGGGAGAACCACGAAGGACGAGAGGCTGCTGAACGAGGGCACTGCGGGAGGAAATGTGGATTTAAAAGTATCCTATTATATATTATAGGTCTCAGATATATACAAATGTATAAAAAAAACATGTCTATGAAGTGTTTTGCTCAAACTACCAAACATATTTCAGCCCTGTTACTAAAGTGCTGATTCTGGGTCTGTAGCTTTAAAATAATTCTCCCAGCAGAAACTCAGCTAAATGCTGCCGTGATGAAACTCCATATCATGTTCCAAACCACATCAAGGATTCTCTCTGACACAGTATGGAGCTCAAACTTTTTCTCTCTCTCAGGTTTACCACAAGGTGACTTCCTTTTGATTTCCTGCTTCTTCACACATGCTCTCTCCAGTACAGGTTAGCTCTGAGTGTTAGCATGCTAATGTAAACATCGACCTTCCAGAACACGTCTCATTGTTTGACTCATGGACAGCAATGTTTCTGATTGGCCCGTGGGTTTAAAGCCTGACCACATTTTAGTAATGTCATCATGACGCAGCAAAAAAAAAGTGCATTTTGCATGATAGGAGACCTTTAAAGTTGAAAAAGCCATAATATTTATATATAATCAAAGGGTCGAGCTTACAGCTGGTGATCTTCTTCTGCAGATCTTCCTCCTCCTCCTCTTCCTCCTCTGTTTGTGGCCTCAGGTCTCCAGAGGCGATCCCCCTGCAGCGCAGCACCAGCTTCATGTCTCCGTGCTGCAGAGAGAAGTACCTGCACACCCTGCTGGCCTCATGGATGCTGCCTTCATCCAACAGCTGATCCACCAGCGTTCCCAGGATGCACCTCTCCTCTGGACTCAGCGCGTCCTCCTCACGCAGCTCCTCCGTGCTCAGACTCTCCTCCGCACTGACGCCCTCCACCTTGCTTAGACCCTCCTCCACACTGAGGCCCTCCTCCATGCTCAGACCCTCCTCCGCGCTGAGGCCCTCCTTCATGCTGAGGCCCTCCTTCACGCTGAGGCCCTCCTTCACGCTGAGGCCCTCCTCCTTGCTGAGGCCCTCCTTCATGCTCAGACCCTCCTCCGCCCTGAGGCCCTCCTTCATGCTGAGGCCCTCCTCCTTGCTGAGGCCCTCCTTCACACTGAGGCCCTCCACCTTGCTGAGACTCGCCTCCGTGCTGAGACCCTCCTCCGCTCTGAGGCCCTCCTCCGCCTTGAGGCCCTCCTCCGCCATGAGGCCCTCCTCCTCCTTCATGCATGGGATGTTGGAGAAGCAGAACTCCTTCACCATAAGCTCGTATGATGAGGTCGTCTCCTGGGTGATTGACAGGTTGAAGACACGCTGTTTCTCCGTGGCGCCGGCTAAGACCCGCCCCCTCACCCTCTCCGCCCACAGCTGCTTCTCCAGGCTCTCCAGGCGGCCCCTTGGAGCCGGGACGAGTCTGGACAGCCAATGGGAGGAGAGGAGGAGCAGCAGGCAGCACTCCTGCACCTCCAGAAGCTCCGCCCCCCCGGATTCTTTCTTCGTCTGCGACAGGAAGAAGAGGGACGCCGGCTCCGGGTCGATGCCGTCGGCCTGCAGCTGATCGTGACATTTCCTCCAGAGAGAAACACGCGTCTCCAGTCTGCTCCACTGCCGCTTGGACTTCTGGGAGTTTACGTCCTGCAGAAGCTAGAGGGAGAGAGAAAGCATGTTAAATACATTTAAAACTCGCACATGAGATCTAGTTTTTACGTTGCTGTTGTTGATGTTTGCACTAAAATAGACTTAAAGGTCTCCTATCATGCAAAAGTCACTTTTTGATGTCTTCTCTACATCACCATGAGTCCCCGGTGTGTCCCCGGTGTGTCCCCGGTGTGTCCCCAGTGTGTCCCCGGTGTGTCCCCGGTGTTTCCCCTGTGTGTCCCCCGTGTGTCCCCGGTGTTTCCCCTGTGTGTCCCCCGTGTGTCCCCGGTGTCCCCCCGGTGTGTCCCCCGGTGTGTCCCCGGTGTGTGTCCGGTGTGTCCCCGGTGTGTCCCCGGTGTGTCCCGGTGTGTCCCCGGTGTGTCCCCGGTGTTTCAGGAGACTCACAAAGTGTTAGAAAATAAACCCCTCTCTCTTTTCCTCCGTACCCACATCTCTAAAAACGGGGGAACAACGGAGCTGATCCAGATTTGCTGCGTCATGACCACATTACTAAAATGTGGGCGGGCTTTACACCCACGGGCCAATCAGAAACGTTGCTGTCAGAAAACAATGAGACGTGTTCTGGAAGTAATATGGTCTGCATACACGCCAACCTTTCCAAATCCAAAAGAGGTAGGTGTGCGCGTGGCGAATGTGCACGCCAAACTAGGTAATCAGAAGAAATGGAACGCCAGTAATTACATTACCATGTATTTAACATATTGCATCATTTTATGCATTTTTCAGAAGAAGTGGTAGTTTGGTAAACAAACGACATGTTTGGTCTGTAAAATGTCCAAAAGTAAAAGAATGGGAGATAAATATCCCAAAGTCTCCACATGTTATTATATTTTGTGTGTTTCTGGTCCTCTTTCAGTTGAGACAGTCTAGATGAAGGATGTCTCAGGATGTAGAACTCTTGTGTGAACATTGGATAAAGCCAGGTTCATATTCTTGTTTCATGTTGTTGACATACAGATGAAGCGTCTTATTTTGGACAGTTTAAAATGCGAGGGTCGTGATCGGTTCGTGCACGTTCCGTGATGGCCGGCCGGCCCCCAGTCAGACTTGATACCGCCCCCATGATAAATACATTTAATTATTGTGAAGCCAGCTGCAATGGATCATTGATCCACCAGGGGGTGCAGTGGGGTTCCACACTGGAGTCATGTGAAATCAACTTCTTTGTTGTTAATAATGTTGTTTAGTCGGAAAAAAACGAACGAGCCGGCTCTCCCGATTTTTAATCCTAATTTAATCATCATCATTGATGTTTATGTTCGCCGAATTGACATGAAATCACTGACAAATATGAATATTCTGTATTCAACTTCATTGAAACGATCAGGATGGGTGTTATTTTTCCCCACAATGACCAAGTCGCTGCAAATGATCCCATGTATTATGTACATGTACATGGCCACATTCTCAACAAAGTTACGTAACGAAACATTCTGTATTCCTTGCTTACTTTTTATTTAATGCTTTATAACAGCTGGAATAGTTCGTTTAGAACAGGCACCTCACTCGCAATCTGCTCCTCCGCAACGCCTACCACCTACCTCCGGCTGAAATTATGAATGTACAGTAAGGCATAGTAATCATAGATAACACGGCAGGGTCCGTTACAGTTTGTTTTCATCTGATTTCAAATATTTCAAATGTCTGAAGTTAATTAATACATTCTCAGTGTTCAAGTCAATAATAGTCATATAAGAAAAGTACTGATCTAATAACAGAGATTTTATAAGGACTTTTCAATGTTCGACATCGCTCATGTGAAATACAGTAAACTGGATGTTGTGGTGCCGAGAGGCGGGGTATCAAAAGTACAAGCTAAACTTTTATTTAGCATCTGAACACACTTGTAAACAACGTGATGCCCGGGAAGCGAAGACCCGGCGGAAACAGCTGGTCTGGTTCACTAAAATGTCCGTGTACAGTATATCTGGTACTAATGTATAGCGGATCTTTGTTAAGATCCATATGTCACGGATAGATATTATATATAGAGATGGGATGGCAGAAGGTGCTATATATATATATATAATTCCAAAGCTGGTAAAGACCTTTCAAATTTAGCAATAATAGTCATATAAGAAAAGTACTGATTTGTTCTTGAATCAACTTTTTTATGGAAAATGTTTTATGTAATTTTATTTCATTTTAAATCAAATGAAAGACATTCACAGTTAATGTAATTAGATATACATTATTAATGCCATACGTTTTTAAATGTAATTAGATATACATTATTAATGCCATACATTTTTGCATAAATATTTATTCAGTATGATAGCTGTCTAACAGAAGTTAAATCCATTTCTCACTTATTCTGACAATGTACTTAACCCCAAATAAAAGAACCCAATAAAAATAGTTGTTAAATAATAGTGAAGTCACGTTGTAATAACAATAACTCATCTCTCTCGGTTTTTTTTGTTTTCTTTGTGTGCTTTGCCAAAAGCCACTGTGTCAAGTGTCCTAGTTGGGTTGCCGTACGGAGTTGAGCAATATGCACATGCTCAGTACCGATCGGGCAGGTGGACGGATCGGGTAGTGACAACTGCAACCCAACTAGGACACTTGACGTCTCGACCGTCTAGGCGGCTGGCCAATATGCGAATATGCATTGCGCATGCGCGAGTCTTATGATCTTATTAGGTGAGTTAGGTGAGTTAATTATTAGTTGTTAGTTAATTAGGTGAGTCTTATTAGGATATTAATGCCATACATTTTTGCATACATATGTATTCAGTATGATAGCTGTCTAACAGAAGTTAAATCCATTTCTCACTTATTCTGACAATGTACTTAACCCCAAATAAAAGAACCCAATTGGCGGACCGTCTCGCACATGCGCAGTACCGATCGGGCAGGCGAACGGATCGGGTAGTGACAGCTGTCATAGTTCGTTTAGAAATCCTAGAAACACTTTATCAACAGGGTTGGGAGGGTTACTTTGTAAATGTAATCAGTTACTGATTACTGAATACATGGCTCTGAAAGCATCCGAATACAGTTACAGTTACGTGTTTTAAAAAAGTAACGTAATCAGATTACTTTCTTTATCCATCACAGATGAGAAAATAATAAAACAAATACAAAGAGGAAACAATTTGATATGTCTACCATTTATTTTAGGAGTATTAATATTTTTTCAGATAGGATCATACATTTACAAAACATCACCATGTTTTTATTTAACAAATTAATCTACAATAAATCCTAATCTTATATTATAAAACATATAATATAATAATATAATGTCATGCGGGCAAATGGAAAATCAACAAGAGAAATTCAAGAACATTTTGCAAGCCTTGGCATAGCAATTTCACAAAGCACTCTGCGATATCACTTCCAGGCGAAACCACCCCGCCGCTCAGGTCCAAGAAAACTCAAACCGTAAGTAGCCTACCTTATTTAATAGTATAGCACGTATCGTAAACAGCTGACATGTGATAGTTCTGCATTTCCCTGATGGCTTTTGTATTTTTCTTTTACAGCAATATCGTGAATGCGATCGAGAATGCGACAACGGCTGATGACGAACTCCCGGCTCATGTTGTAAAGCGGAAAATTCAGGCGGACTTTGGGGTTTCGCTAGGACTCAGCAGCATCCGCAAGGCCAGGAGAAAACTTGGCTGGAAATATGGCAGGACCCGTTTCACTCCAATGATCAGAGATCACAATAAAGAAGCAAGGCTGAGACAAGCCCTCCAGTGGATCGAGTCTGGGGAAACGTGGCATGATGTGCTTTTTACGGATGAATCCACAATAGCTCTGAAACACTTTGCAAGGCTCAGTTTCAACAGAAAGAACCATTCTGTTGCAAAGCCTCAACCGAAACATCCGATAAAGTTGCATGTCTGGGGAATGATTTCGCACCACGGTCCAGGCCCTTTGGTTATCTTTGAAGGAATCATGGACAGAATTTACTTCGAAAACAGTATCATCAAGGAAGCTGCAAGTCCATACATCAGGGGACATTTTGGGTCGAATCACCGCTTCTTCCAAGACAATGACCCGAAACACAGCGCGGCAGCAGCTGCAATTGCGGCTGAGGGAATAAACTGGGTTAAAACTCCACCCGAATCTCCGGATTTGAATCCCATCGAGTTGGTCTGGCACTTGATGAAAGACTTCATTCGGAAGGAGGCTAAACCAGGCTCGAAGCAGGAGCTGATGCAAGCGATAGAGGATTTTTGGAGGACAAGACTGACCCAGGAGACCTGTAGTCGACTAATTGCAGGCCTCAATAAAGTTCTGCCATTGGTTGTGAAAAACAACGGTGGACATAGTGGAAAGTGAAATTGAGATTGTCAAATTTAATAAAAATACAAAATAATGTATCTGTGTACGTGTTTTACTATGTGATCTGCATGCACTTATCAAACATTACACCGTTACAGTTACTGATTTCAAATAAACAAAGTCTTGGCTTTCAGAATATTAAACTTGTTTCGGCAAATTTAGATGATAAATACAACTATGAAGCTTGTAACGGCATAATTACTTAAGCGGAGAACGGAGTAAGTTAACGTTACAGCAGGCATAACAACAGCCGGTGTTTATTTTATTATAATGTATAGTCGTTATTCATTTGTTTTAAAGCTCAATAAGGAAGATTTTAACTTTCACACACGTTGACCGGCGAATGAGAATAAGGCACAATGTCCATAATGCATCTTGTGACATGCGCACTGAAGAGACTTGCAATTATTTGAAATGATTTGCCCTAAACTTCTGTTCTCAGACATAGTTAATTATTAAGTTATTACTTTATCCGATAATAATCCAATGCAGAGGCAATAATGTTATATAAAACATTATTTATATATATAGTCTTAAAGTTACAACCGGCCCTTTGAGTGCAACCTTAATGCTGATGTGGCCCGCGATGAAATTGAGTTTGCAACCCCCTGCTCTAGGTAAGGGAAATGTGAACGTGGAGGTGTAAAGATGCGGTTGCAGGTCAACACAAGACAACACATTAACTATTTAAATGGTCATAAGACATACACTGAGCACTTCCTTGGCATCAAGGTAATCACTAGAGAGATTCTCACTTGAGGAATCTTAACCTGAGCCACAATAAATTGTCTATAAATAGATTCCCAACATCTCAGTTGTATTAAAAATGAATAAGGCCATCTTCACGAAAAGTTCAAAAGGGGGAGGGGGGAGAGAGTTAGACGCTCGTGAATCTTACTGAGAACGTTATGTTTCCTCTGACTGCTTATGCCAAAAGCAACGACAAATTATCTGTTTTAAATACCTTTTTAGACCGTAAACTTTAGAATGAAATGTAATACCGGTTAGTTTTTTGTGTTCATACTGACAGAAGAAGAAATAAATTAAGTATGAATGAGAATAAGACTTATGTAATGTATTGACATTTGATCATAAGCCTATAAATGTATTACTAACTTTATCCACTGTGGTACCGAAGCTTGGATCACCGCCAAAGACATGGCCGAGGGCAGCTGGCAGCTTTCAATATTTTTCATGTGCGATTCTAACGCATCAGAAAGTGAAACATACAGCATCATTTGAGAAAAATAAATCAAAATAAGCGTTATAAATGAACCCTGACTACTTGTGTTTAGGACTCACTGTATTTTGGTACTCTCTAGGTCTGTGGGCCAAATCCAGATATGGGGGGGGGGGTTCTGTTAGAAGGTGCGACGGGGGAGGGGGGAGAGAGCCTATGGGCTTAGCCCCG